TTGATTTTAAGTTACAAGATGCGACAACTTTCAAATTACAAGGTTGTAACCTGTGAACATTTGTAGAGACATTTAAATACAAATTATATTTACCTCTGCTTGACAGCTTGAGCTGATAAAACACCCATTTCCTTAATTGCTGTACTGATTAATCAAAGCAATTAGCAGGGGATTGATATGATGATATGGTACACAGGTGCATTACCTTTTCGGTGGAAACCCAGGGAAGTCCAGCTCACCCAAAATGAGATTGGATGATTTCTGGTCCCTAAAGCTGTGCCGCCCTTCCAAAGAATATCTGCTTCGACACTGCAAATACCTCATTCGCAAATACAGGTACAAATAGACTTTTATATGAATACGAAAGTGCTTCACCTGTTACAATCTGCTGTTCACAGACTCATTATTCTGACCTCACAGTTCTTGATTAGGAAATTGTGCTTAAGAATAATGTTTACTGAATTACATAGTCTGGTCTCTCTTTGTCTGAAGCCAAAGAAAACTGTCAGATGCTCTTAGTTTCCAAAAGGCGCTAGGAAAATGTTTAGATATCTGTTCCATGTTAAATAGTTTGTGTCGAATGTTAATATGAAGAACATGATCTTGCTCTGATCCTGCTGTGATCTGAATGTAAACCATTAGGACCAGCTGTATTGTTATGTAATTGCAGTGTCATGCAGCACTGCAGTTAGTGATTAAATTACAGCAGTAGTTTTCCATTGGTGCATGTGATTTCTGCTCACTTTGTGCCATCTGGTGGCCATATTTGGTTACTTAATGGAATAGTAGTGTTCCTAGAAAAAAAAAAATCTGTCCTCATTTTTTACATTTAAGGTTGCAGTTTTTAAGGCACATTTAAACATGTTTACATTCTGGTTGCTGCCTTGTGTGTGTTTGCAGGTTTGAGGAGAAGGCTCAGACCGAGCCCTTGAATGCACTTAAATATCTGCAGAATGATCTGTCTCTTACCGTGGACCACACCGACCCCGATGAGACAAAAGAGGTCAGGACCCTCATGAAAAATGGTTACATTTTATGATTAAGCTTGTAGATAACAAACCTTTAAACTTTTGCAGTTGTCAGTTTTTGCGCATTTACATGAGTTTTAAAAGTTTGATTTCAGTTGGACTGAAGCAAAGTATCGTGTAAATGCTCGAGTCTGACTAGGCCCAATACACGTTTCATAAGTAAATGTGCTTTTTGTGTGTTTGTTTCCTGTAGTTCCAGCTCTTGCCCTCTGCTCTGTTCAAATCCAGCTCAGACTTCATTCCTCTAGGTGAGCGCTCTTTTTGATGAACACAATTGTCCTCCAATCACGTTCTTTTACTACAACTGAATATCAGCACAGAGTCTGCTCAAATATATTCATTAGTGCTTTGATACTTAATAATGATTTTCTTCATGACAGGCTTTTCAGATGTGGATCAGACGTACGCCCAGCGCACACAGCTGTTCGACACGCTTGTCAATTTCTTCCCAGACAATATGACCCCGCCCAAGGGTAACCTTGTTGACCTCATCACCCTGTAGCCACGCCCTACACAATAGACCACACCCCTCTTTAGACCTCTCAGACTCCTCCCACCCAAAACAGAAGTTATTTTTCTACATTTTTCACCCGAGGTGTGCCGTGCCCACCTACTATGTTTCCTCTTACAGAAGTAATGGCACTTAAACGTCACTGAGACTTATTTAAAATGCAGAAATATAATTTTGTACTCTGGATTGCTTTTTTATTTTTTATTTTAAAAAGGTGTCAGAATTAGGTTTAAATCTGCATATCTGCCAAATTGAATTTTCTTTTTTTCTTTTCTTTTAAACAAACTTCTGCTTAGTTTCAAATCTGTTTCAGTTTTATCATTTACATTTTCTTTCATACAGGTTGAAATATAGGCGAGTTATCATAAAGGGGTGGTTTTGATTTATGAACTGTGTGATCAACAAGGGTTCCGTTCTGCCTTGCTATTTTAAATCATATTTTTTATGGACAAACATATGTGCGCTCATCAAGTGGAGGCCGAAGGCAAAGATCAGAGTGCCCTCTAGAGTCAGTTTTCTCACTCTAGTAGATCAATTCTGTTCAATCTCAATCCTGGATTTAAATACTGGCTTCCATCTAAACCTGCTGCTGCTATTGGATGCTGCCATGACATTAGTGCTCTCTTTGACTCTTTAATAGTGATGAAACACCTGATTCCATATGTTCTCATCCACAAATTTTAAAAGGTTAGATTTGCTATAGTGGCATGTTTGAGGTGTAATGCACACATTTAGGTACACAAGAACTGTTTTCCACTGTGTGTGTAGGAACGTAAATATTAGTAGCACATGATCATTCATGGCAACACTTACTTTATAACAGGTCATTATACTTGTATCCATTAGTGAATGGATGAACGAACACTTTGCTGCAATTAGACAAACCGAAGATGTGGATGATTAGAATTTTTGAAGTGTAGCTTGTGGCTGCTTTTGTCGGAGCTCCGTATCGTCCAGTTCATACTGCTTTGTTACACAGACTGTTCAGCTTACTGGTACCAACTCAAAGGAGCCTTATTGGGACCACTGAAGACAGAAGAGACCCCTCACTATTTATTATTAATATTATTATTTCTTGGTGAACTTGAGCCCTGAATGTCATATCTTATGTTCTGTTTCTCTCTATGATGTCATAGAGACGTCTATATGTGCCCTTCATTCCGTATGAGCTTCCGGATTGTTTACAATTCTGGACAGATGAAAGTGTGTTGGATGATAGTCTTCCATATAGTTCATCCATACATCTGGATAACTTGGGTCTCCATTTGTGCATTGTTAGTTTAACAGCAGTTATATTTGTTATTTGTCTCCCTGTGCACGAGTAGGAAGTGCTTGCCCTGCAAAAAAAAAAAAAAAAATTCAGTAATTAGATCGCTCTTAAATTTGCTGTAGTTTTGGCTTCACCCATGCAGAAACCAAAGGCTCAAAGAACCATGGGACAGTACATTATGCTTCACCCTGCTGATTGTGTCCTCCCAAGTGTCATATCTCAATTCCCTGAACTCAGTATTAGCTGTAATTTGGCTCTTACAGCGCACTGGAGTGTGGAAGTTTGACTTCTTTGTGATTTATAAGATTCAGTGCTCTTTATTTCTTTCCTGGCGTGAACGTAATTTGGGTGTAAATGATTTGGAATCCAGGGCTTACTTTGCCTTTCGTAGCTCTAGCAGTGTTTTTATGTCAGGAAGAAAGTAAAAAAAAAAAAAAGTATGAAAACAATGAAATCAAGGATACATGAGAGGATCGACACTTAAAACCGGAGACTTTTTGTCACACTTATGCCAAATACGTTTTCTTGCTTCATGAAGTGTACATTTCTGCAGTGTCGGAGATTAAATGACTTTTTCTTTTCCTCTCTCCTGGAAATCCTCATCTCGTCGAGCTCCCCTCTGCTCTTGAGCGAGGGCACATTGAGATGTCAGCACTACACTGTGGCTCTCATGAATGTGTAGAACCTATTAAAGAACTGCATTGTATGTAATGTACATAAAGAATAAAGATTGTATTTTGTTCAAGTTTTCTTAAATATTGTCTTGGTCTTCCTTTAACATAGACCTATAAAAACTCTCAGCATTTTTAGCCCATTAGTATTTTCACCAATCAAAAAAAATGGTTTTAAGCCAATTATTTCTATTTTTGCTGTAGTGTGTCAGTAGGAAATATCAGTTTACATTTCCAAACATTCTTTTTGCCATTAATTGATTAAGATTTTTGTATGCACAAGGAATCTGACAACAGCCAGTGCTCCACACAGAGATCTGATCTCACGAACAACTATTCTCTTTGGAATGACATGAAGAATCAGAAAAAACTGAGGCTGACTAAATCTAGAAGAACTGTAGCAACGTCTCCCAAGATGCTTGAAGAAACTTACCTGCAAAGCTACCTGAAATCTATGCACAAGTGTACCTAGGACAAAAGCTGTTTTAAACGCAAAGGTTGGTCACACCAAATGTTGATTTGATTTAGTTAATAGAAGTTAATTGGTAGGTTTCTTAAATCATCTTGGAGATGTTGCCACAGTTGTTTGTTTGCTTGTTTGGAAAGCTGTAAAGTGTTGACAATTTAGGTACCTTTTAATAATCTAGATTTAAGGTTAAAATTGATATTAATATTTTTATTTATATATGTATTTATTTATTTTTGTTGGGTTTTTTAGGTGCTGTAACTGGATGTCCCCACCCCACCCCCCAGCAAGGATGCATTAAATTGATCAAAATAGTGAAAAAAAATATATTCATCAAAGAATCCTGGAAAAAAGTGTAATGGTTTCCATAGTATAATTAAGTAGCACAACCATTTTAAAAGTTAATAATAGTAAGAAATATTTGAGCAGCAAATCAGCATAGAACAATTTCTGAAGGATCATGTGACACTGAAGACTGGAGTTATGACTGCTGAAATTTCAGCTTTGCATCACAGGAATAAATTCACTCAATTAACTTTTTAAATTAACTTTTGTGAACCTAAATTTCTTTCAAAACCATTTAAAAATCTTACATACCCCAAACCTTTGAACAGTAGTATACACATTTTGTTATCATTTAAGATGAAGTGCCACGACATGCTATGTCAACTATCTGAGAAAAAAACGCTTAAAAAAAACCCAAACATATTTATTTATATTAGAAATCATGGCCATCCCCGTCCGATCTGACGGAGATGCAGCTTCCAGTGTATCAGACCCCTGTCGTTTGCACACAGCAGCAAACTGACTTCAAATACAGAATACAACTATAAATTCAACCTTAACACTTTGGTGGAAGTACAACAGCTAAACGGAAACAGTAGTGAATCCCTTATATTGAAAATTTGTGTAGTGCATGTAAATACAATTTAAAAAAAAAATGTTTTGGTGAAATCAGCATTAAAACAGTTAAATAAAACATCCCCAAAGAAAAAGATGATCAATGCACTAAACTGAAAATTCTGATTAAAGACAATGACACATTATGGTTTTATACCTGTAACTAAACTTAAAGAATGTAAGTGAGTTGTGTTGGATTTAGTGTCAAATGTTTCAGGTTGACGAGAATGAAAACCTTCATACTGGTATGATGACCAACACAGATGGAGCAGATAATGAAAAAGTTATCTGCCAGTCATGGGGGTCACATACTTTTGACCCATAGTCTAATTTACCAGGATGAATTATCCATTGGTCAAAGCGTAATTTGGTGCCTATGAGAGTTAATCTTCCCTAAACAGAAAACAAACAAATTGTGGAAGAAGCATAGAAATAAGCATTACATACAAGCAAAACTGTTATAATTCCTCTCAGGAAATAATACAAGGTTCCCACGATCCTAGATGTGTTTTCTGGGCCTCAAAAATTCATGGGAAAAGTGATGGAAATTTCTATAATAATAATAATTTATGCTCACTTTTATCTGGTAGAAACAACTTTGTATTTGTAACTTTGATTTGAAAGTTCATGGGAAAATCATGGAAATTCACTGGTCAGAAACTGTGAACTTGAATCCTGAATATATCACTTTAGAGAAACATGGAGTAATTTTTCATGTGAAACTTAAACTTGACTTTGCTTGATAACATTTTAAGGCACCATAAAGCACACTCCTAATGCAAAGACAGTGAAATGTATGCCTTATTTTGGCCAAATTCTAAGGCAGCTTCACATTTAGAGAATGCAGTCCCCAAAATGCATTGCAGTGGAAAATCTAAATTCTTTTTTTTTTTTTATCATTCAGTTTTAAATAAAAAATTGGATATTTTAGCCAATGTTTGTTATATATTTTTTGCTCATCAAATTGTTTATTAGAAAACTATTGGTTTTGAAACATCTAAGTGTGATAAAAAAAATGTTAAGGCACAAAGAGAGGCCATAGATTGGAAGAAAATGGAATGCATTGACGTTCCATTTACAGAATTTAGATTTTCCCATACGCAGTGACACACAAAACTTGAAACTTTTCTTCTATTTCTAGCACATACTTAGCATTTAACTACCTACTTACAGCATGTACATCCAGGCACCAAATGAAAACAACTGATGTTTGATAGTCTTTATGTCAGTCTCCGCTTTCTCTACATTCTGGCCGTTCACCATCCACCGTTATGAGAGCAGCAGGTTTCTCTCTCCTGACAGCTCATCCGGTGCCATTACAAGTGGGTGTCTTCTTCATCAGGTATGTCCTCTTTCAGCAGGTTGTCCATGGGGACGATCCAGCTGTCGTTGAACTCCCCGTTCAATGCCAGTTTCTTCTCTTGCATCTCCGGCTGTACCTCCATCACCTCCAGCGTGGGATTGTCATGATAGCCATTCTCCACTGTCTGCATCTCTTCCGTCAGGTGTTGCTGCCGAGGTAAAAGTGCATGTTGGGATGTTAAACAGCGTAACACTTTGACTTGAATCATTCAGAACATTCATATACAAGTTTATTGAAAGTAGGGCCCGAATCAAGCAATGCGAGTACATCTGATTCATCTTTGTGTTTGGAATTGAGTATTACCTGGTTCTTCCTGTAGGATCTGCGATGATAAGTGCAGTACGCAGCAAAGCAGCACAGAATGAGCACCAAAGCGCCACAAGAAGCCAAGATGGCGATCAACATGTCTGGTATCGTGTCCTTGCTCACATCTTCTTTCTGCAAAGTATTATTGTCTGTATATCCACTGACCTGTTCTGGAGGTTTGTAGTTTTCTGGCTGTATCTTTTGATCAGCTGTAAATGGAAAACGAAGCGAATTATTATACATTTTATTAAATATTTTATTGTTGTTGTATTGATAACCGAACACAATATGGCAAGCACTGAATCCAGTGGTTCCTCCTTATGAGGGTTTAATCTATTCGGAAGCCGTAGCATTTCCCTCACCATCTATTGTAACTTTTGCAATTAAACGTTTGTCATGAATTTCCACGATCACCGTGCAATTTCCTTTCATCTTCTGACCCAGCGTCTTACAGGCTTCACGCACGGCGTTCCCCTGATCAAACAAAACAAATATTAAAATGGTAGCACTTCATGTTTGGCTTCATGTTTTGATCATTTTTAAGGAGAATCTAGGTTTTGTGAAGTCGGTCACTTTGCATACTGTTGTTGGCCAAGAAATGTTTTAATTTAATAGATTGTTCTGAATTGTGAGATAAAAAGTATACACTGAGAATTCTGACTTGTTCTCATCTTGCAGTTCTGACTTTTTTCCTGTGAATTCTGAATTCACTCTTCTTTTTTTCACGGAATAAAAAAAAAAAGCTAATTGCAACTTTTCATCTTGCAATTGCGAGTTTGTCTCACAATTTCGACTTTTCTTAGAATGGCTAGATAACATCTTGCAATTCTTGTTAGAATTGCACATTTAGGTCTCTCAATTCTGACTTTGTCTTGCATTTCTGAGAAAAAAAGTTGTAAGATGTTATCTTGCATTTCTGGGAAATAAGATATAAACTCAAAATTTCGGCGGAAAAAAAGTATGAATTTTGAGGTTATTCACAATTACCTATTTTATTTGTTATTGTGTGGTGGAAACAGGCTTCCTTAGTTTTGTGATTGATTTTACTGTTATTTAACAATGTCTTTAAACATTCAGAGTTTATAGAGGTTCTTGATATTGATATCTTGATACCTTCCACCTGATGAAAACATGCACTTTTTTAAAGAGATGAAACAGTATTTCCTGTCATCTCAGTGGAAAATGAATGTAAGGGGACCTTTGGGGATCAGTGACTGAAATCTTTGAAGAACAAAAAATAGAAATTTTATTCATAGATGTTTTTGTCATTCATGTACTCACCTTACTGCTGCTGCTTAGGTCAAAGGAATTCTGCAGAAGAGAAAATCAACATGATCAGCAGGAAGTATATAAGTATATATCAACAATATATAAGAAAAACACATGAATGTTAATGTTTTACATGATTGAATACAGGCTGAGAGGTGCCAGTCCCAGTATTTTCCTTATGTGTACGCGGGTCCAGAGGCAGGGCTGTTGTGACCAGAGCGATGGTTGTTTGTATTTCCATTGTCTGAAGACTCTTAGAAATAGTAGTTGTAAAATCAGGTGCTGCTGTGGTGAGTAATTTAGCTGAAAAGTGACATGAAAAGTAAATGCTTTTTAGTAGTTTAAACAAAAATTAGATTCTGTCTTCCTTAACTGGCCCTCATGTCATTCTTTACATGCTTTTATTGCATCCGTGAAACACAAAAGAATATATTTTGGAGGCTGTTCACAATGTTCTTTGCCATACAATAAAAGGCTGTGAAGCTAAAAACATAAAAGTAGCATTAAAGAGGCCAACATGAAAATAATATATGTGTAAATTGAAATTTAGGATATTCACTTAAGTCTTGCCCTCAAATCACAATTGCATATTATAAACATTATGTTGATTAGATTTCAGTGATGCCAAACTGCATTTTGTTTTGTAACTGATCAAGATTTCAGAGCTAAGGTATAGGGCAACATTTGGTAATGACACACATATTGGTCTTTACATTTGTATTTATTGCATTCAGGCTATACATTTTTTCAGTTCAGCATGCAGTCTTGGCTTCTGAGCGGGAGATCTTTTCTTCCATATTGTGACATATCTGAGAGACAGATTATGAAAAAAGAATATATATATATATATATATATATATATATATATTGCGCTTGAATGTTTAAATTGGCGAGGTGTATTTGTTTGTTCAAGTGCAAGGAGACGCGAAAGAGAACTCAATTCGGTGTTTGCGTGGCTGAAACGCGGCTCTCTGTGTGCACACCGAACACAGCCCATGAGTACTTTTTTGCGATCTAGTGCTTGAATGCTTTAAAATCTCTTTAATGTTTAAATTGGCAAGGCTTAAAAACACATGCAAATGATAAGTTTTCATGAAGATGCACACCAGTGGACCATCAACTGTCCTGAGCGTCTTTTATGCTGGCCTCAGGCAGTCGGCTGAAATCGCCAGGCCCCCCCCCCAATCCGTGGGCCCCTATAATTGTCACTACCTTTCTCCCCACTAGCGACAGCCTTGTACATATCCGTGGGCGGGGACTTGTTTCTATCCATATGTTGAAATCACTGGAATTTGAGATGAGCATTGAACTCAAGATCTGAATGCAAGATTGCAGTAAATTGTGGAGGGTTTAAGCTGATTAATGATTAAAGAAGTCTGGAATGTGTCACCAGAGAGACATCTGTCATTTCACTGTAAGATTGTTATGACATTTTGATTACAATTTTGGGGTCATTAAATTATAAAAAAAAAAAAAGTCAAACTAGGTTCAAAGAAAAATAAAGAAAGAAAGATGCACAGTTAAATCATTTACAATAAGATCAATAACATACATTTAGGATGAATTTTCATGCAGACTTTAAGGTACCTCTGTTTGTTTTCTTATCTTTTTAGGAACATGAAAGCCTCCTGGTTACTGCTGCGTTTATCAAATGTAAATGTACTTCAAATGTTTTCCTTTTTGTGGTCCAATGAGAAAAGAAAGTCATAGGGGTTTGGAATGACATGAGGGTGAATAAATGATGACAGAATTTTCCATCAATATAATTTACAGATTTTTAAGTTGTTGAAATTGTGCAGTTGTCTATATTTGTTGTAATCTAATTTTTTTGTCATAAAGACTGTACCAGTGTGAAGAAAATCTTACTTGGTGACCCAGTGTTGTTTTTTTTGCCAGTTGTAATCTGTTTGGAAGGCTCTGTAGAAGGACTGGGTGCTGTGTCTGGGTCAGAAGGGTCGAGTCGCATTGCTGGGTCAGCTGGACCGTGTTTCTCAGGTGATTTGGTAGGACTGGGTTGCACGGCTGGGTCAGCTGGACCGGGTTTTACAGCTGAGTCAGAAGGACTGGGTTGTGCAGCTGTGTCAGAAGGACTGGATTGCGTGGCTGGGTCAGAAGGACCGGATTGCACGGCTGGGTCAGAAGGGTCAGAAGGACCGGATTGCGCGGCTGGGGCGGCTGGGTCAGACGGATCAGACGGACCGGATTGCACAGGTGGGTCAGAAGGACCGGATTGCACGGGTGGGTCAGAAGGGCCGGATTGCTCAGAAGGGTCAGAAGAACCGGACTGCGCAACTGGGTCAGAAGGGTCAGAAGGACCAGATTGTGCAGCTGGGTCAGAAGTACTGGATTGCATAGCTGGGTCAGAAGGGTCAGAAGGACCGGATTGCGCTGCTGGGTCAGAAGGGTCAGAAGGACCGGATTGCACGCCTGGGTCAGAAGGACCGGATTGCGCGGCTGGATCAAGAGGACTGGATTGCGCGGCTGGGTCAGAAGAAACAGACTGTGTGGCTGGGTCAGACAAGCCATTTTGCGCGGCTGGGTCAGAAGGGTCAGAAGGACCGGATTGCGTGGCTGAGTCAGATGGATCATTTTGCGTGGCTGGGTCAGAAGGATTGACTGCTGCGGATGCCATGCTATACATGAGGGCACCTATGGGAAACAAAGAAAACAGCTAGTTAAGAAAAAATATATCTGCAAACTCAAGATTTCTAATCGGTTGTGTGAAATTTCTATAACGCTGCATTATAGGTACACAATAGCAGTGTAAACTGTTTTTAAATGTTGAAGTCAAAAAGAGGCAGTGTTAACTGCTTTTATACATGCTAACAAGTAGCTTCATTTCTGATGAGTTACTGCAACAGTCATTGAAACGGAACAGTGTCTTGTGTGTTCAGTCAAAAACACTTTAAAAGTAACAACCAAATTTAGCTACTTTCAGGGAGTATTTTTGCTGATTGTTTATCCGGTAATAAACACTGTAAACAAGAAGCAAGAGCTAAGCTCATTTATTTTTACAGAGTCAGTCTTTATGTGTATTCTAATATCATGTAGCACAGCAAATTTTCCACAGCAGTATTTATTGTATACTTCAAAATGGCTTTGGGTTTATATAGCTAATTTATACAGATTTTCTTGTTGTATTTTTACAACACATATGTTGAGCAAGTTCCTTATTTCCTTCTTTCTTGAGGTATCAGATGGCTATCGATTTTTTTTTTTTCTTCAAGCACCTCTTATTGTTATTATGTCTAGATGTCACATGGTAGTGGGAGTTTTTCTCTGTTTTTAGTGAGCTGGACAGGACACTCCATACAATAACTTAGGAAGTAGCACACCTCTTTTGGGTGGAACCACAGATGCCAAAACAATGGTGTCCAAATCTGCCACATAGTCTCTTGAGGCTTAAAACAATAGCTTTTTCCTAACTTGTGGCTCTCAAGTTCATAATTATATATTTGGTAATCGACAGACTTCTAGCCACTGACCCAGTATTTATCACAGTTACAGTTGCTTTACTATTATTTTACAAATATATTTTGTCAAAGACAAACCCAATATTAAATATATATACTGTTTATATCAATCAGTCCAAGACTTTATGCAATAAATTCTACATTTACACAATTAACTTCAACTGTTCCTAGTGCTTTTTACCAGAGCTAGCCACCCAGTATGAAGATCTTGTAAATCTTGCCCCACTGGGATGTCAGAACAATCAGTTGAGGATGTTGTAGAAACACGGCATTGTTGCTGTCAGGATAGGGGTTAGTAATGAGAGGCTGTTTATTTTGGTTGGTGAGTCAGTGCTGTCTATCATTTAGCCCTCTGTGTAATCACCATCTTATCACATAGCCTTGCGTCTCCAAAGATATGTCCACTGCTAATCAGCACGACTGCCTATCACAGCTCTAGACTTAACTGTTAAACTAAGCCTTTTCGCTGCACTGCTTTGGTCCTTGTTTTTAAGAATCCAATTAATTACAGTGAAACACATTGAAAATGAGTTTAAAATGCACATTTATTTGAGTAATGGGAAATTTAAGATTGGTTTTTTGACTCTTATCGTCCTTCATCATCACCCTGTGGTTTCCATTAGTTCCATTGTTTAGGATTGAATCCATCGTTGACCCTGCTGTCAGTTGCGGTCTGTTTATTACCCACTGTCAAGGCTGCTGGTCCTAACACTATCAATGTAGAGACGGTTTGGAGAAAATGCAGACATTTCACCTACATAGATACATCATAGTCATGGGTAGCCCCTCACAGAGGCATATAATATGCTCTTTTATCTGTTATACAGACTCCCACACTCTCACTGAGATTCTGGAGGTACCGTTTCAGCAATCCCTGATAACAGGAGCTCAACTCACTCATCTTAACGATTGGGATCAGATCAAATGTAGGTGATCCTGTATTTGTAGGCTAAAATATTGTATTTTTCTCTTTTGGACTCATTCATTGTGTCTCTCAGGATTGTTGTCAGAACGTTGGTTGGAAGTCTTGTTTGGAATAATTAAGATTTTTAAATGTTTTTAAAAAGAAATCTATTATATTCACCAAGGCTGAATTTATTTGATCAGAACAAACTGTAATATTGTGAAAGATTATTAGAGTTTAAAATAACTGTTTTCTATTTTAATATATTTTTAAATGTTATTTATTTATATGATGGCAAAGCTGAATTATTAATAATACTTATTATTATTATTGATGATGAAAAGTTATTGCCGCTTAATGTTTTTGTGGAAACTGTGATACACTTTTTGGTTGTTGAAAATTCAGCTTTGCCATGACAGCATTAAATTATTTTACAATTCAATTAAAATAATTTTCATTTTAAATTACAATTTGAAATAACTTAAATATTATTAGAATTTAACAATTTATTGTTACAATTTTAATAAACAGAAAACTGTTATTTTATAAATTGTAATCATATTTCACAATAATACTGTTTTTGCTGTATTTTTGATCAAATAAATGCAGCCTTGGTGAACATAAGAGACTTTTTTCAAAAACATAATTATTTCATACTTTTGACTGGTAGTGAAAAGTTTGTGAAAATGGCAATGATCAATCCAATAAGTTTATCCAGCTTTGTCGAAAAAGTAAAAAATATTTCATTTGAAGGGGCAATTTTGTGGCCAGGAGTGTTATGTAATAAATGGAAAACAAAGTTATGTTTGTATTGCTATTATATTGCTATTATTAGGGCATTAATAAAGTTGTAAATTGTTGCTTAATTGTCTCTTGGGGATTAATAAAGTTGTATTATATTGTATTGTACTAATTTCTTTGAATAGGACATGCACACCCTCAGTCTACCACCCCCCTCTCCAGCTGCGTGCAGGACCTCTTTGGGCCCCTAGTTTACCCCCACTCCCCATGATAGTGTCCTATTCAGGGGTAACTGAACAGGCCCATCGGCCCAACAGGAGGGGGGGGCGGGGAAGATGGGGATTGGGGGCTCCTTTATGGAGCTGAGTCACAACTAACCCCCTCTACTGAGGTGAGGAGAGGGACTGTGAATATAAAAATGCACACAATGAATGAAAGACAGACAGAAAGAAAGGAAGGAGGAGTCTGAGAGGGTTGACTCAAACGCATTCCTCATGATACACACTATCAAGATGTCATTGTGGCGTACTAATAGAACTGTATCAAGCTTTTTAGGACTGAATACTCAGAGTGTGAAGTATCAAAGCTGAAGTTTTTTTCATTTAAGGATAAAGAATTTTTAAATAATCGCAAACACCCAGTAATGGTGAGCTGATTTGAGTTCATTTGCTAGAGAATGTGTGAGGTGTTTTTTTTTTCTTTTTTCTTTTGGCTAAGAAAGACTAGCTGCTAATGGTGCAAAGTATCCGAGTGATAAAATGAAGGATTTGTGGGTAGAGAGGGGAGGCCGGGTTAGAGGTTGGATTAGAGAAGGGAGTTGAAGATCGCGGTAGTGCCAGTTGCAGACATTATACATAATAAGCAGATCAGAAAAGGAGGGGGAGAATGACAGAGGGGCCATTTTTGCAATCTCAAGATATGGAGGCCAGTCTCTCCCTCTCTTTCCCTTACACGTCTCCCTATAAATATTAGACACTCACACGTTAAGCAGGGAATTACATTACTTCTTGGTGCCACATTAAGACCACATGAAATCAGAATTGTGGCTTTTAGTCCATTAATAGTTTCTAATAGTTTGAGGCCAAGTCAGGTCAAAATATAGTGTTATTTTGATAAATAAAATAATTTAATCAAAGGTGGCAGTAAAGACTTTTACATTGTTACAAAATATTTCAGTTTCAAATAAATTCTGTTCTTTTGACTTTTCTGTTCATCAAAGTATGCTGAAAAAATGTTGGTTTCCACCAAAAATATTAAGTGGCAAAGCCTATTTTAAACAGTGATAATTGAGCACCAAAACAGCATATTAAATGATTTCTGAAGGATCACGTGGCACTGAAGACTGGAGTAATGACTGCTGAAAATTCAGCTTTGCATCACAGGAATAAATTACATTACAAATATATTAAAATACAAAACAGTTGTTTTAAATTGTGTAATATCATTAAACAACATTTTTTTCAGTTTTGATCAAACAAATGCAGCCTTAAGAGTCTTCTTTCAAAAACATTAAGAAACATAACTGATCCCAAACTTTTGCACAGTAGTGTATACTGTGCTAAATCTGTGAGGTTTGTTTCCAGAATCCCCCCCAAAAAAGTAATAATAATAATAATAGAATCCCTTTGATTTTTAAAGTAGGCTATTTACGTCATTAAATAACATGTATTTCAATTTTATTCCACTATTTCTTTTTTTGTGTTATTATTGTGGTATAAAATTATACCGTGATTTAGGATTTATTTTTTGGATCACCGGCTTCTAGTTTATAGCTGTAATGCAAACTAAATTAGCTATTTAAAAAGGGACAAGCCCTTCACATTACCCCACCCAAACGTCCTGTGCAAATAGGAAAGACGTCCTCAACACAGGACAGAAAATCATGCATATAAAGGCTTTCCATGGGGTCTTTAAAAAGCATGGTAATTCACTACAACCCTTGGGTGTCTCATCTACTCTTGCGTCATATAAATCAGTGTTTCATTCCTTGAATAATCTCTTTTATCAGAAAAAGTTGGATCATTTGGCTGAGAGATGTAGTAAGACAGAGAGAGCAACAGGAACGGAGCAGAGGAGAGAGGAAATAAGTGCCACACCTTCCCTGGGAACAGGGATGTTGACAGAACACTTTCCTATCCATTATTCCACACTTTCCCAAGCCTTGTGTAAGATGGCCCTGTCAGGCTGCATCGAGACAGGAGCGCTGCCAAAGGATACTTTGTTGCAATCAGTTTATTTTGGCTGATATAAATGTTGAGGCTTTCTTGACAGTAGAGGATGGAGGAAACCTAATGCAACACGAGGAAGCCCTCAAAATTCAGGTCTATCAACACACAGGGAACCTTTTATAAATACTCGAGTTAAACAATGTGGAAACAGGCCTAACTTTGATCAACCTTGAAGTTCAGAAAAGCTGAGATTACAGCATCCTCACTTGCTGCGCTACAAGAAAGCCTTCAATGCAATTTCAAACAATTAATCAGACCTTTTTAGAAAAGGCTGACTGAGACAGAGTAGAGTCAAAAGTGCTTATGATGCTTTTTACAAGGTTGGGTAAACAAAACAGGAGCACTTTTCTAATGACCGTCAGTCAGATGTCTGGATAGGCAGGTGCACCGCACTGATAATTAAAGAATAACAGTCCTCCCTCACATCCCTCTTGAGTCTGAGACGCACACTGCATCTGTAATTGTGTCACTGTTCGTAATTTCAAAAAAGCAGCTGACAGAAATGTTGAGCGGCACAGATGCTGCACTAAGAGCTCTAACCAGGATTTTCTGCCACTGTTATATCTACATATACACATGCGGTCAGGTACTGATTAGTAGCCATCACTGTCAGCAAAATGTAAGTTGTTTTATGATAACTATCTTAAGTCATAGACATAATGCTGAACAGATTATGTGCATTCAAATATGAATTTATATGAGAATATGTTCATCAAAATTTTGTAGGAATTCCAATACAACAGTTTTTTCCCCCCCATTCGTTAATTTATCTAAATGACAGAAAGGGCCAGAAATTAACAAGGGCTCAGGGCAAAAATGTTAGAGACAAAGACAACCCAGCTAACAAAAATATATTCTAAGAACGTTTTGCTAACGTTCTTAGTTATGGAAATGTTAGTTATAATAAACTTAGTTTTTATTTATAGTGTGAACGTTAAGAGAACATTGCATTTTATAATTTTGCAAACATTATGGGAATGTTTGAATATTCTCTGAATGTTCTGGGGAAAAAAGATGAACCTCCAACAAAACGTTTCAGAAATAAAACGTTCCATAAACATCGTCAATAATGCTTTTGTGCTAAAGGTTTGTGAACAAACGTTCTATTTACGTTCTATTAACATTGGCTAAAGTTCTGAAAACGTTCTTTGTTAGCTGGCAAGTAAGCGTTTGACATAAATGGATTTTTATTTTCATATGGTAAAACAGTAAGCCCTTATAAACAGTAACAAGCAAATGTTTCTCCTTAACACGAAAATTAATATTTTTGACTCATTACTTAAAGTTACTCAAGAATTACCACTTAGCCTATAAATGTGAACTAAATGTTAAAAGTCCTATCTCTATTGCTGCTATAGGAATCTGACAAAGTAGCCTAACTTAACGGTTTAAATCATTATGACGTTATGGAGAATTTTGTAAGAACGTTTATTGAATTTAAAACATTTAAATATTTAAAAAGTTCTAAAACCACGAAGTTCATATTCAAAAGAGGTGTTTGAATGATCAACCGTGAATGAGCTAATTCAGTTATATCGATGCGATTAATGCTAATAATAAATATGAGAAATGTTCAAGTTTAACATTTAAGCACATCCTTAAGTGAACGTAAACTCACCTAATACAACGATGACTGTCCTTGTGATTGCCATTTTCAGTCCGTCAGTTTGATGCTCGCTGCTCCGCGTTCCAAGCTGACTTCAGAAAAAGTTTAGCATGAAAATGTACGTGGAGAGGCTGATCGGTTCCGCTTATCGTCTCGAGTCTGTATCTGTTTTTTTTTTAAATTTATTTTTTTTTTTTATCTTAACGCCAAGAGGAGTGTTTTTGTTTGCGCTGCTGCTTCTCTGCGGCTCTACCCAACCCTGAGGGGCCGGGGATTTGGGGGGCAAAGTTTTGGTGGGTTTCCTTGGCTGCGCGGATTGTGATGAAGTGAATGCGTGGAGTCGTCTGCAGTGCTGCCGTTGCCACGCTTGTACGGCGGATCTCAGAGCAGGTCTGAGATGTGTCAGCTCACGCAGGGCAGGGGGGACCCAATAGAGAGGGCTGGGCAGACACAGGACTAGACCCATGAATAATATACTGTCTAGTTATGTCTAACATCATGCATGTCACTGTATTGCATGTCAAGTCCGTATTTAAGGATGTGGCCAAAATAATAATAATTATATAAATTATAAAATTACGTTAATAAGAATAATAATAACAATATTAATTCAATATTTTTGTTCATGGACTAGACACATGACCCATGAGTAATATTGTCTGCTCTAGTTATGTCTGAAATAATAATAATAATAGTGCATTATATAATTAAATGTATTATAATTATAATATTATGAAACATATAATATTTAATTAATAATAATTGTATATTTATAATATTATATTTCTAATAATATATAATTTGTTATTAATTACATAATTTGATGTCATAAAATATTTTTGTTGTTCAAAAAATTGTTGTTTCTTATGTAACATGCTGTAATAAATGAACTAAAACATTTAATTTCATTTAATTTTGCTGGGACAATAACTAAAGAATCACAATATGCATCATTTTACTGTATAGCCTTGCACTTGCAGACTTTGTAATGTCATTTTGTTTTGTTTTTAATATAATTAATCAGTAGATTAGTTAGAGAAATTTGCCATGGATGTCAACAGGTCCCATATTTGATGAAGTTTCGCAAATTTGTCAGAAAACTAATTAGTCTGAGAAAGCTATCTGTAAGTGCAGCTGGCGTGGAGTTTGCTGTGCAGATAGTGAAGGCCAGATCTCACACTGCCAGCACACACCAGTCACCAAGCCAATAACCATGACAACCAGACTTCAAAAGCTCCTGTTTTACGTTGGGAAATTCATGTTTGCTTTTAAGTGCCATAAAAGACAATACCTCCATTCAATTTTTGTTTCATGAACTGTGACCTTTTGTGACCTCCACTCATGGGCATCTTCTTATGCCCCATTAATTATAGCATTAGCTCAGTCTGGGCCCAGAGAAGGCCCTCTGTTGTAACCAGTCAATAGGAAACGTTAGATCAGAGCAGTGACAAAACTCCTGTCATGTCATTTGTGAGTGTTATGAATGGTAGAGGGGAAATGTTTTGGGTGCTGCACAAAGGGAGATAAACACATGGGTGTTGGTCATACTTCCTGGGCGTCTCTATCTCTCTGTCCTGAAATAGCTGCTGTGATAGCCTGTTTGCCCTCTTAACGATCTAAATACGAAACATTTGGAGACTGAATCCATTGTTATGTGGAGAAACAAACTGGTTTAAATTGTCTTTCAAGAACTTCTGTTCTTTATCTTACACTTTAGTTGAGTCGGGCCGTGTATGTTGTGTGTGTGTTGTCAAGTGTAAATGCTCCCTGATTCTTACAATTGTGTCGTAATGCCAGCAGCTGGGCAAAGAAATGTAGTGTTTATGTTGGTATTGGACTTAAAGTCTACACGTTTTGTTCTTAGTTCAGTAGCCTTATGGCTCTGGCAATAACCTGTATGTGTAAGGTTTCATATACCTTTCTGTATATGTGAACTCCACAAATAAATTTAGTGTGTGCATTTTATTTTATTTTATGCATGTTTGGATTTAATTTTTTTTAAATGTATTTATTTATTTTGACTCTGCAGTTTCTACCACACATTTTTCAATTATTTCTTTTATTTTTAATTTAATTATTTATTTTGACTTGCCAGTTTTTACAGGCAATTGTGCTATTTTCATATATCATTCTGCATACATGAACTCCACAAACAATTGTAGTGTGTCCATTTGATTGTATTTTATGAATGTTTTTATTGATTGATTGATTGATTGACTGACTGATTGGCAGTTTCTACAGGCCATTTTTCCATTTTATTTTCCATTATTTTATTTTATGTTTAATTGAATGTTAATTAATGAATTGATTAATTAATTAATTAACTTCATTCCTTTCTTACTTGGCAGTTTCTAGGCCATTGGGGAATTGGAAAACAAACAAACAAACAAACAAACAAACAAACAAACAAACAAATAAATAAATAAAAATGAGTCTGCACTAAATCTGTTTTATTTTATCTAGTTTATGACCATTTTACAGTGATTTTACCATTCAGCGTTTATGGTTCAGTTTAATTTCAGATCTTTTGGCCTGGAAAAGTTGACTTCTCAGAAGAAAATAGTATTAAAACTCCATACACACACATATCCAGCTCTATCTTGCAATGTAAAGCATTTGTATAACTAGAGAACTTTGTTGGGCCAGATTTTTGAGGGTGCCCTTCTGACACTCTTCGCAGTGCGGCGAGTGATGGATCGCATGTTAAACAGCTCGGGGGTCGCAAGGCTAGAGGCCGGCACTCTCACGTCTGGCTTCACGCCTCCCATCCATCGGTAGCTCAGTCGTGCAAGGGTTTGTCACAGGGAGAGCGCGCGCTCACCCTGCCTCATTAAAGAGCCACAATGCTAAGAGCATTCCAAGAATGCAGGCGCTCATTCACTCTCGCTCTTTAGATGCGTTGAGACGCCGTGCCAAGCACTGACAAGGCAGGGCCAAGCCTCCCTCATGATGAATACCATTTCTAAAGCTTCTTTATTGAATTTATCTTGAGATTTACGGCATGCATTCTTCAGATATGTGGAACGTGTGTAGTGTGTACTGTAGATGTCCAGCGCTCACATTCCATGTTCCAGTTATCTGAGGTTGTTTTGTGATTCAAAAAGCAAGCAGCTTGAATTTTTGAATATTTCTAAATGATTCATCCTGCAATGAAGACAATTTAACTAAAATACTTTATTAATTCACAGGGTGTTGGTGACAAATTTTTTTTGTCTTGTAAAGAAAAAGTTCAATTTGGGGTTATTATTTTTTAAGCTGAACCAAACATGACAAAACTTCTAAAATGAAAGATATACACACATATACCTAATAAAATTAAAATAAAAAACACATTAAAAAACATATGAATGAATGAACATATGATTATATATAGATATAATAATGTGTGTAGGTACAGTAATAGATTTAGGTATTAATTTAATGTAATCTAATATAATAGTATTATTATTATTATTTACATTTTGTTGTGATCCAAGCACAAAAAAAATCTAGGTATTTTAATCTAGATGATTAATTTAATTCAATTCAATTCATATTTAGGCTCACAACATCATAGAGACAATTGGGCAAAAATGTTTATTTTTATTTTATTTTATTTGTTTTTGGTCATTTTTTGAGTATGACGGGTGCAGTACCCATTTACTTTGGTAAAAGAAAACTATCAGGACAGCTTTCTGCTAAATAATTTTGTGATATTTTATTTTATTTTATTTCACTTCACAAAATCACAAAATATTACTTCACAAAATTAACCTACCAAAAATGATTTACATGGTTTTCTCTTCAAGACTTCACCAGCATGTCGTACTCCCACATGGGAAAGTCTTTAACAGTTTTCCTGGAGGGATGATACCTGGTTTGTCAGTGAGATATGGTAATGATAAATGGAGAGACTGAACATGCTCTCAGAGGCACAGGTGGTCAGTGTGTGTGTGTGTGTGTGTGTGTGTGTGTGTGTACATTAAAACTCAAAGCTTAAAACGACAGAGGAGTACAGGCAACATGACACATACGAATGCAGCAGATTCAAAACAGGGTTGACATGTCAAACATTCTGCATGGTGTCTCTGAACCATCAGAATAACATTTGCATAATCTTGCATATGTTGCCTGAACTCTCTCTTTTACTGTGAGATAAATGTATGTGTGTGTCCTTGAAAGTGATTTAGGAGTTGTCAGGACACAGGACACTCTGCACCTCTTTATCAGCAGCCTGGTACCAACCGGAGTCTATCCCCGGGAGGAAAAACAGGACCTTGTGTGTGTGAGAGAATGTGTTTAAATAGGTAACTCCTCCAATATTATGATCTAGTTTATTTTTCTCATCTGTTGCTAACAGTACCATTCTCCACAAATCCTTTGTTTATTTCTACCTCTTTCAGTCCAAACACTTGTTTTAAACACGTGTTTAAAACCTCCTCATTTTCAACAGGCAGTTATAGTATTTTAGTGAGTGAAGAAATGTCTTTCAGATCTTCCACGCAGCCGTCCAACACTGTATGTAGCATATTTATTGTCGAATCATGAATAAATAGCTTTATTAAACAGTAACAAGCTTTGAAACTATAGGCCTATGTTTACATATTGTGAAAAAAATAGGTTGGCCTTCAAAAGTCATTGCTAGGTTGTTGTTGCTATGTGGTTTCTTACAGGTCTAAGTGAAAACAGCCCACCATCAAGTGACATGACATTCTAGTCCCTATATTAGCCTCTTCAAATGTAAGTCTATAGGTTTTTTTCATCTTTATCTTCTGCCCGGTCCTGAAATCCCTAATATGAAAAGTATTAATAATGATACGTGCCTTAGAAAGGCCCCAGTCTTTGTATGGAGGAATGTGTATATCATTTAAAAATGCATCAAGCATTATATATATATGTGTGTGTGTGTACACACACTATTTTTAAAAACATTACTCAATTTAACAACAAATGTAAAATAAATGAACATTGTGTTATTTTATTGTTACATTTAACTAACATTAAAAAAAGCTGTTTATAATGTCTATATATTTGTCAACTTGAAAAGTTAATTACCGTACTAATGATATTTCTTATTGTTACATTTATCTATATTTTTCAAGAGAAATTAAATAAGCAGTTTAAAATGTCTATTTAAATTGTTAAATTTTCGGTTTCTATTTTTATTTTGGAAAAAAAAAAACTTTGTTTATGACACTCCAGTTCCTCCATAGCTTTGCGTCTAGACTAAAAATAAATACAGTAAAAAAAAAATGTACATCAATGTCTTTGAGAACATATACATCTAAGTGGCATTATGTGACAAACAAAAGATTATTGATGAGATTTTGCTATTTCACAAATGGCGTTTGCAAAAAGTGACTTTTAAATTCAGATGCATCATGACATGAGTGACCAGACCAAGATCTAGGTTTGGAACATTTACCATGAACAGTGGAACAGTCTCTTAACC